AAAAAAAAAGAAATTTTATCTTAATGTTTTAATATTTTTCAGTTTAGTTTCTTAGGTAAATATTAAAAATGACTAATGATAAACTTTTACAGCATAATGTCCTGTGAATGAGCATAAACTTAGAAGAAGAAAAAGATCTCCTTGGAGATAAAAGCTTCGTATGACTTCTCCAAATTTCTGAGAAATTTGTAGAAATTTTGAGTGTTCTTTTTTTTCTTTCTCCTTTAAATTTTCACCACTTCACTTAGTATTATGTTATATAATTTTATCGTTAGTCAATTTTAATATTTATTAATAATGAAGGACATAATTGAATTTTTCTAAATAATAGAGAGTCTACCGAATGAAAAAACTCTCCAATATTACAGATGACGTAAATTATGCCAAAAAATTATTTGGAACCAAGACGTTTAATAATTGTTGGACGTAGATTTTAAACTGTATCATGCACTTAATTCGAAATACAAAATTTAAATTCTCTCACACATGGAGTAGTGTAAAATCCTTAGCTTTTTTCTTTCTTGCTTTTTTTTTTTAGAAAATGAAAAGTACAAATGATGAATGCTAGAAATCAAGACATCAAAATTAAAAGTGGGCACGTTGTTCTAAGAAGCAAGTTTTAGAAAAAATTAAATCTCGTTTTGGTATTAGAATTGTTCATTTTTCAAAGTTTGTATCACATTTTTTGATTTTATTTTAGTCACTAAAATTTAAAAAAGATAATCACTTTTTTCTTTACAACTCTCACAGGTTTATTTTAGTCTATAAATATTTAAAAAATACAATAATTTCATGATCATTAAATGTGTACTTTCAACTCACTTACAGTGGGGGCCAACATAAATTTAATTGTCATTTGTCTCTAACTAAGAGGTAATAAATTTGAATGTCCTAATTACTTGTTGTAATTAAAAAAAAAATTTACGTGGCTATTATATATGTTCACGTTGTCATAATAATACACGTCATTCATTCAATTTATTAATCTATTAGATAATTAATAAGAAAATAAAAATGATAGCCAAAATTATTGTATTCTTTTTGGGTAGATGACTTAGAAGTTGATTATTTATCAACTAAATATTCTTCTCGCGTCTATATCCAATTTCTTTGAAAAAGATATTTTTTTTACCACCACATAAAGAAAAATATTTTGTTGTGAATATATTAGAGGATAGATATTTTGAAAATTTAGACATCAAATTGTAACTAATCGAAAAATTTTAGAGATTAAATTATACCTTTTTAAAAATTTAGAGACTAAAATAGAATAGGAAATTTAAACATTTAAAATATTATTTATGTAGACAGATTTTAAAATAATTTGTTGTTTATAAGAGTTCATTTTTTACCATGTAGTTCAATGATGAGTATTTTAATTTCATCCATTTAAATTTTTCACTTGAATAATGTGTAATTTTTTGTTATTTTAAAAAATTAGGTTTGGGTATTAAATAATGCAACAACTTTACCCACAATGAGGTGTTAATGGATTTCCACATTTTGTTGAGAGCTTTTCTTTTATATATATAATTTTAAAATGATTTAAATTCTATTTTCATCTATACACATTTATGTTTATTTTAGGTAAATGAATACAACAAAGGAGCAAGGTTAGGTTTATGATAAATAAATTATTTGAAAAGTAATGGAAGTGATTAAATTTATTTTTGAAATAAAAATTCAATAGCTAAAACATAATGTTAAAAGGACCTTAGGTTTATGATAAATAAATTATTCGAAAAGAAATGAGGTGATTAAATTAAATTTAATGGCTAAAATATAATGGTTTAAAGTTTATGATAAAAATAGAATAAGTATGAAAAATTCCATTAGTAAAATATGATTAATTAGAACTTTAAAATTGATTTTTATTCTAAATGTAAGCAAAAAAAATTAATTGAATTAATATCCACGTGATACTAATTAAAGTGGTTAGACATATGTATCTCTCTAGAGTAAATAGTTGATAAGAACGATATTATAATTTTTATTTAAATTCCAACCTGTTTAATTTTGAGTGATTTTGTTTCAATTAGTTTCTACATTATCATTTCCAAGATCTAAAAGAAAACAATTAAAAACATATATTTTAAAAATATATTATCTAAATACGATTTAAGAAAGCAAAAAAATTAAATAAAATAAAAATATATAATTTGAAGTAAACTTGTGTACAATAATTTTTTTAACAAAAATATAAAATAACATTTTAAATATGATGTGCAAGATGGTAAAACACGTTTTTAATATTGTAGCCGAGATAAGTATAATTGAACCAGTCAAAACATTCAAGTAGTCGAGATATTACTTACCTTGTTATAGGTTAGAAGCTTTTCATTTTCTTTAAATTTTGAAAGATATCTATTTTAATCTTTTAACTTTTAAAAAAATAACATTTTGATTCTTGTCATTATTAAGCTGATAATTGATCAATAAATGGATAATGTGAGTTCGAGTAGTGTCAATGTAGACATGTATGCACATTTGGTGAGTGGATTTTAAGTAGATAAAATAATACAATAATCTAAATAATCTAAAATATAAGGTCTAAGCTAAATATTTTGAAAATTCAAGACCAAAACGATTACTTTTTTATAAAAGACATAATAATTGATATTTGGACGTTTAGATAAAAAATAAAATAAATAAAAACGGTTTAGTAAATAAAATAAGATTGAAACCTTAAAGGAAATTTAGGATAAATTTGAAAATGAATAAAGGTAAGTTTGTGCCTTGTGGAAATTAAAAAGTTGGGTTTTATTTTAGATTTTTGTGCTTTCAAAAGGAAATTAATGGAATATGTTGTACATGGTTGACCAATTAATTTGTTCAACATGTACAAATTGGAATTTTCTATTTTTTCTCTCTTTTTTATTAGGTTGCTTTCTGATTCATCAATCATCAAAAAAATTAAAACATGCATTTAGAATCTCTCTCTTTCTTGCCTAAAAAAAAAAAATCTCTTTCTCCCTCCACCAATCATTTATAATTTTTAAAAAAGATAGGTTTAAATACCATTTTGTCATTGCAATTCATTTTGGTCCATGTCAGCAATGCCGGAGGGAGGAAAATATTTTGTGAAAAATTTTTATACTAAAAAGACTCTCATGTGGTGATTAAATCTAGAGGGAATGAATTGAGCCACGTTTGTGCTGCACCCTAAGAAAAGAATGAAATATTTCGATCTCAAAGCATCATCAGTAATACCAAATTAGCAATTTGAAAATTTTTTTTAGGTGATCATGAGAATTTTTCATTTTCACATCCTCATAACTGTCCCAGTATTTGAAGCATTTGAAACATGAGCGGCTTCAGTTTGAGGTTGACGTTATATGGAATAGGATTCAATATGACTGAATCCAGGTTTTGGAAAGCTGTAGTTGCATATTATCCCATAGCTACGTCCTTGTTATCTGGCATCAAGATCTAGTTGAATTTTTCATTATTTTGTCTACCTCTTCCCAGACCTTCCATATCTACGTTTTTGTTATCTAGGTGGGTTTGCAGGATTTTGAGGTGGAACTACTTTGTCTATACACGTGATTGTACTCTCGATATCACTTTCAAGATATACTTCGTTCTCCTTTTACTTTTCTCATTGTTTTCTAAGTCTCTACTCTCTTCTTAATCTTCGGAAGTTAGACTCTGTCAATCTTTTGAACAATAAGGACAATAAATGATTTCATGCTCATACACAAAACATCAACCTTACGAGGTTAGTTATAAATCAATGATGTTTTTAGAATAGAAACAACAATCACACAACCGATCACAAAAATAAGAAAAAATCTAAAACAAATTGGTCGTGACAACGACGCAAAAAACTTGTTTGAGGTTTTCTGATTTAAATAAATAAGCAAAGTGCAAGTGCACACCCGTCACAGACAATAAATGGAACAAGTATTTCTAGTAGTATCGATCTACATGGACTAAAGTTGTCTTTTTTTTTTTTTTTTATCAAAACAATGGTGATCGGTGAATATGTTATTAGTTTTAGGATGAAAATAAATAGGAATGATCTCAGTTTCGATTTCTAAAGACTTAAATGAATAAAACTCACCCCGTTTACTCCAAATTAGCTAAAAACATAAGCTGGAAACAACTAGGCGCTAGACAGCTCTCCTATTTTTAAGATGATTCTACTCCTTAATCTCTTTATGTCTAAGTGATCTTGAAGTAATAAATCCCATACTAATATGTCTTAAAAAAAGTAAATTTAATTTAATAAAAACTGTAATATTGGTCAAGGTCCTATGACTTGTAATGGAACATGAAATCATTAATATCTCAATTAATTAAAAAAAAATATATTGAGATCATTAATCTCAATCCTGTGAGTCAGTCTCAATTGCATGACATATTTCGTTGGGCCTTTGTGAAGGCCCAACAACATGAACTCTTGGGCCTGGCTAAACATTTGAAAAGATAGAAATTAGAGCTTTAAAAATATTAAGATTAAAATTTAAAACTTTCCTACAATTTTCCTATTACATATGATGAGAGACAGAGACCAAAAGAAGCAAAAGCAAACGCTAAGAAAAAAATTACATTTTCTTCTCTCTTGTGATTGGTGACCTAAAACAGCCAAAGATTATTCAAATAAAACTTTTCATAGGCAGCCACCAGATATTTCTCCATGGAAAAGTAATTAAAGTAATTCACTAATTACTATTTTACATATATACATTCTTCCAGTTCGTTAGCATTTGAAAATTCTTTCTTTTGAAATTTATCAATCAGTAGCCATTATTTGAAAAAACAAATGACCCCATTGATGTGATTGGCAAGAAATCCTCTTTCAAAAATTACCACCTAATTATTCTCCCTCTATTCTTCTTTGACATGTTTTTAATTTCGTTGACTTAAGTTAGGAGGTACAAGTCGTTGGAAATGAAGGTCAAATCAAATTAAAAGAGTAGGACTCGACCGACTTACCATCAAACTAAGATGAGTTTAGTTTAGTGATAATTGACACATGTTTATAATCAAGATGTCATAAGTTCGAATCTCTTATTCTCTCTCGTTGTACTTGAGGAAGAAAAAAAGAAAATGACTTACCATCTATAAATTTACTTAAATTCCTAATTTTCAGAGTCGGAGAGAGATTAAAGTTAAAATTCAGTCTAATACATTTTAGAACTTCCCACCTAAATGGGCATTCTATTAGATTATTTGCTATTTCATTGAGGCTCTCTATATGTATATGCCGACTTCTCATAATTATGAAATGGTAGAAATAATAGTCGACTCCTTAGTCCTTTCTACCTTTTTCCCCATTCCTTTGACGTTTACAAATAATTGAAACAGTAAAATTTTGTGTGTAATTGTGGATGGAATGTCAAATATAATAATTACACCACATACCCATAAAATTTTTACTTTCCTTTTTTTCAAGTTAAGATATGTAAATTAAGGTGCTTTTCTAAAATCATATATTTATTATATATATGTAGCTCTTATTAGTTAATCAAGTAATAATATTGATACATAATTCCAAAATAGTAATGAAATATATATATGTATATTGAACATCATAAAACACCAGTATTTTACTTCGAACATCAATAAAAATACAATGAGAGAAAACTAACCCACCATCATCGATAAGCAGTACAAGAAGTATATCATTTGTCATAATCTTAAATGTCAACCTGAAAATGATTCAGTAGTTAATTAAGACATCGTACTTCTTTCTTTTAGTTTAGAGATTACATTTGTTGAACTAAAAAAAATCTGAACTCTAAATCCACCGACACCATATCTCTATATTAAAAAAAATTTCATTAGTTTACCTATCATTTTATTAACTGAAGTAAAGATTTTCTGGTCTGGCCAAATTTTGGAATGACCGACCCATAACCCATCATAATCAATATTGAAATTGGGGAGACAATATCTTCATCACTAATATCAATCAATATTGAAATTGCAAATAAAAGTAAAGTTTGACATTATTGTCCAGATTTTCTCCCAAGAGTTTCTGTGGAGTATTTGACAGCACAATTCAATGAAACATAAAGTAGCCAAAACATTGGGTTGAAAAGTTAATTGCTAAGGGAAAGAAAAAAGGAGGAAGAAAATTATGCTATCAAATCACAATAACCTTTTGATGGAAGTTGAAACAACAACACCAACCCATTTTCCATTTTCGAAAAAAGAAAAGAAAAAAAAAAACTATATGGAGTCTTATCCAAGCAACTTTGAATTGATAAATAACGCAATTTAATATATTTAACTCTAGTTAACCATGAGATATTATGGTAAACATGATAATCCATTCATCAGAGTGATCATCGATACGCTTCTTTTTATTCATTTTAGTCTAACGTCTTCATTTGTTATCTTCGTTTTCTACTTTTCTTATTTGTTGAAAAAAAATTATGTGTGACTTCAACCCCCATAGATTCAAGAATATTAATAAACCGTATTTATTTATGTTTTGAAATAAATTGGGAACTGGGGGTAAGAAACAAGAAATTATTTTTGTTGTTCTTATCATTTCTATATAATTTTGAAAGCGTTTTTAAAAAAATAAGGAAAAATAAACATAAATAATTCTCAAAGGCTTGGGTTTCCTCGTAAAGTTGGAAGCTAGAAATAATAAACGAAAACCTCGACCCTTTGTTGTTACATCACTTTTCAATATAGGAAAAAAATCTCAACTTTGAATCAGGACAATCACAGTTGAGTTTATATGGTGAATGCAAACAAAGTCCCAAATTAGTTAGCTAGGGAAAGAGCATGATTCATGGTATATAAGATAATATAATTATCTTTACTGATGTGAGCTAGGTTTTTTTAGGTCAAACCAAAAGCGGTACAGTTCTTGACCATCACAAATGTTCTCTGCAAATTTTCATGAAATTGCTGGGTAATAACTTCATTTAAGGGTAGATCCCAGAACTTTATGAAAACTAACAAATTCGTATAAAGAGAATCTTAAACACAATTAGTAATATCAATATCATTTTATATATCTTGATATTAGTTTGTTTATAAAAAAACATACCAGAGATAATCAACTTAATTTATTTTGTATAAGAATTACAATATTTTATAGTTTTTTGAAAAAATAAATTAAAAAATCCTTTTTATTTATATTTTATAACCAGAAAAAAAATTAAACAAGAAATTAATTTATGTTTATTATTATTTCATTATTTGTATATATTCTATGCAGATTATGTATATATATATATATATATATTAATAGAGATTACTGTATAAAAAATTGTCAATTATGGTGGAAGAATTCAATTTGAATACGTTATTTGATGTGGACATGAGAAAAAGAGTAAATCTCAGACACCCACAAAATTGTCGGCATTACTATTTGCAATATAAAGTGAATATGAGAGACAGAACATCATATCGAAATTAATGTATATTTACATTTATATTTGTTTTTTCTTTAATTTATTAAAATGACAAAGTACATAACAAAAAATGAATCACAAGGTCTAGCTAGATCTTAACTTCTTTTTATCAATATTCAAAAGCAACACAAGAACTAAAGCACGTTATTTTTATAAAACAATAAAAAAATTTGAGGAAAAAAAAACATTTTAGTTGCATACTTGATCACTTTACAAAGAGGATGATATTATCGTTATAATAAAGTGTGTCAATAGTAATGCTATAAAGTTATAATTATGACTAAATATATGCTTTTAAGTTTTTAATATTTTATTATCTTTTCAATTTATTCTCCCTCGGTTAACAAATTTCAATTTACTTTATTACGTTTTAATATTTTTAAATCACACTTCCATCTGAATTTTTTTCTAAAATTGAAGAAGCTCGTTGTTTAGACTAAACAACACAGTAATTAACACCGTGCTCCAATCCAAGATCTCATGGTAGGTGATACCACTTAGACAACGGTACTCCTGAGTATCTCTACGATGGTATGATATTATCTGCTTTGAGCATAGCCGTCACAACTTTGTTTTTTGTTTCACCCAAAAAGGCCTCGTACCAATAGAGATAATTGTACTTTCTTATATACCATGGATCACCATTTTCCTAACGAATGTGAGACTTTGTTTGCACTCCTTACAAAATTCAACAACCACTAGTTAAAATTCTTGCGACTACAACATGGAGAAAAATTAAGTTGAGAGAAAAGTTTAGAGATTTAGAAGATAATTTAAAACTTTCCCTTTTAATATTGACTTAATTTTTCCCTTGAATTTTTACATGCTCTTCGAGTATCATGTCATATAAATTTATCATTAATCAATTTTAACATTGACAAAAAAAAAATAGTATAAGAAAAAAATATATAAAATAGTAAGTGACTAAATTGAGATTTTGTAATAAACAGTAGTATTTAAAAGAAAAAAACATTAGGATCAAAACTTATATTTCAGCTATTATTCCTCAATATAATTTGATGTAAATACACAGGAGAAAAGACATTTTTATTGATAATTTATAAGGGACAACCTTATGATATATATTCAAACTTTAGAGAAATTCAGCAATACGTACAACCTCAATTTTCACAAACCTTCTTTTTTTCTTCTATTTTTCTTTTCTTTTTAAACTTTTTGATCTATAAAACCCCATAAAATTTGACAACTTTTGGAAATGGTGAATACAATCCTCTCCTCCAAAGGGTCAAAAAAATTTCATTGTCAGCCACTAACTATTTCCCCACCCAAAAAAAAAAGAAAAGGAAAATTACAATATTAAAGAAAACACCTAATTAGGATCATAATATTTGTTTAAACTCAGGAAATTCCCCTCCTCTTGCGAAAATATTATACCAAAAATCCATGGTCTCATGAACCGGCTCCATCGTCAAATTACCAAACTGACCTTGCCCTTGATTTTCACCTCCAAACCCCGGCAGGATTCCCATGCCGCCGGCGATTTGATCGTTCGCCAGAACTTCCAACCAGAATTTCTCGTCCGCCTCTGGAACATTTTTTATTGACAAATCGCCGCCGTTCTCCGCCGTGACGACGGAGGAGCTTTCGCTGGAGCAATGAGGCGGCGAAGAACTCTGCATGCATTGGAAATTGGGGGCGAACTTTGAAGATTGTGCTGCTGATTCTTGTCCGCCGGCGGGGATATCGCCGCCGCAGCTCCTCCGGTTGACGGCGGCGGCGTAATTTTGTGTTGGTCTCTTCTTCAAATGGGTGTGCCACACGTTTTTAATTTCGTTGTCGGTTCTTCCCGGCAACCTCGCTGCAATCGCCGACCATCTATAAATTTAAAAAAACCAAACAAAACAAAAATCAGTTCATTGCGAGAATCAAAAACATGTTCGTTCGTTAAGATCGATGTTGCGAGTTTTGTTCGTTAGTGTCACATGATGACATAAAATGGATTAAAAAAATTCTTTGCACTAATCGATGTCATAACTAATTAATTATTGCGACTTCCCGTAAAAAACTTGACAATTTATTAATATCTTTAAAAAGTTTCTATTTTTATATTTTTCTCTCTCGTTTGTTAAAGTTTGAACAGCATCGGCACTGACCCTATAATTTTAACTATTTTTCTAAAATTAAGGATGTGTTCAGGAGATTATTTTTGCTATGGACAAAATCATTTGATGATATGTTTGGCACCCTAAAAAACTGATTAAAAAAACATAAAATCAACTTAAATTCAATTATACTTTAGAATCTCGTTTTTTAAATTTCTAGTTCTACCATCACTCCAAAATACACTCTAAACCTCTATTTTCTCCCGACACCATCAGAGTCACGTGGTAAATAAAACCATCTTACGATTATATATCATTTAATGCATGAAACAAAATTTAAAGATAATTGTTTGCTGTCGCACTTTGTTTTCTTTTTTCCTTTTTTGGGTGAGGAAAGATATTTATATTTTGTATTAATATAAAAATCGAGTGGGGCTCTGTGAACATTTTTTTGGATAGTTAATAAGACAGAATGCTGTACTGATGAAGCTTTCAATTAATGATTAACCTCCAAGTTGAGATGTAAAAAAAGGGTGTGGAAAACCAAGAAAAGAAGAGAGAATTGAAAAAAGACCTGTTTCCCAGCAATTCATGAAGCTTAATAATGGTTTCCTCTTCCTCTTTGGTGAAATTTCCTCGTTTAATGTCTGGCCTCAGGTAATTGGTCCATCGAAGCCTGCAACTTTTCCCACACCTCAACAATCCTAATATACAGAACCCACAAAACATCAGCAAAAAATAAAATTAAAGAAACCCCACCAAAAAAAAACTAAATTTTGGATGTGGATTTTGAACAAAAAAGACTTTGCTTCCAGTTTTAGACCAATTTGGAAGAAACCCAGGAAAGAAAACAAGTTTATGTTTAGTTTTAAATGAGAGTGTAGTACAAACCAGCTTGTTTGGGGAGGGCTCTCCAATTTCCATGGCCATAGAGGGCAATATAATTGATGAGAATCTGGTCTTCTTCAGGGGTCCAAGGGCCTTTCTTGAGCCCCATTTTCTCACAGCATGGAGCTCTCACCATCTCGATCTTCTTCCTTTTGATGGAATCTCTCGGATTAATTGCATATATATGTGTAAATTTCTGAGAGGGACAAGAGAGAAAAAGGAAAGTGAGGGAGATTTTAAGGAGGAAAAGAAAAGGGGAATTTTAAGAGAAGGGAAAGTGGAAGGAAGATGGGGATGGGGATGGGGATGGGTACAGAAAAGAGTACAAAGAGGCCGCACTTATAATTTGTGTGCTATTAAAAATCCCTTCGAGGAAATGTCGACTCATCTGTCTTTTTTCTTCTTCTTGTGGGGCTCTCGATCTATTGTCATCCCATACGGTTCTTGTAGTCAAATTAAAACGTGCGTTTTCTTAAACAATTTTGTTTTCTTTTCCACAAATGCCATGGACTTAAGTTTGGACACCCTCGTTTTCAAGGTTGAATATATCTAATTTTGTTCCGCAAATATTTAGTATATGGTTGGAGTGTATTTGATATTGGGCAAATGAACTTTTTATTGTGTTCAAAAATATTTCTCACTTAAAATCATTATGTTTGTGATTTAGTCAAAATCACTCAGCTATATCATGATTGGTTAAAGAAATACTTAGAAAGCACTTTTGAAATAGTAAAATCAATCATTTATGCTCCGCTTAGTATCTAGAATTTGTAGGAAATGATTTCAAATTCTAGGATTTTAAATAATGGAAATGATTGCGTTTGGAACCAAAATGATGGTAAATCATTAAAATTAAAAATTTATCGTTTGGATGTTCACTAGAAATGAAAAGAATGTATAACATTTTACTATTATGTCCTTAATATTTTGTAGAATATTATATTATTTTTAATATAATATTTTAATATAGACAAGTAATTTCAACCCTGAAAAACATAAATAATTTAATCAAGACAATCTAACAAAAATTAAAAAGTTGTCAATGTCACTTTTATTTTAAAAACTAAACAAAAAAAAAACTTGCAAATTTTTTTATTCAAATGCTAAAAAAATTCTTAAAATCAAATTATTTCAATTTATTTGCAACAATTTGTTTCTTTTTTTTGTTTTTATCATAGTTAAAAGGAAAAAAGAAGAAAAATATACCAAAAAAATGTAAACATATAAAGACCTAAACAATATATAAGGAATCTTAGAAACACAAAAAACAAAATAGAAAATCAAACCAGTGGTGATGCAAGAAAAAAAAGACAGTTTATATAGTTATTAAAAAAAACTACTGACAAATCAAATTTTGTAACTAATTTGATTGATGATCTACAAATAAATAATGCGAGTAATAAATTTTTTTCACCAAAGTAGGGCAAAATTGGAATTTGTTACATTTAAATTTAAAATCCTCACCGATGGAACCTATTTCAAACGAAAAAATATTTAAACTAAAAACAAAATTCGAAATCATTTAAGATTTCAAATTCTTTTTTCTTTTATTTATCCAAACACCATAAATGATTTCAAAATTTTGAAATTCCTCCAAATTAGAGGTTCCAAATAGGGGTTCAAGTGATTTATTATTAAATACTACTCGCTAAAATAGTTTATTATAAAACTACCACCAATTTTTCTAAAGTATTCGAGTGTATCTGGATATTATTTTAAAGTAATGATAATATAAAAATGTTAAATTGATTTCTAATTTAATGATAGGAATTATGATCCAAGTATAAGTGTATAACAGTATTCCAAGGAATATCTTTGAGAACTTAGGTTCAAATTACCTAGAATGCAACTCCAACTAAGCAATGACCCATTACGTATGTACGAGTATAAGGACACTGCGTAATTGTGCATACCTCCAGATTTAGAGACATAAAGGCCAAAGAGTCGCCGACTCCTGAGTTATTAAAAGAAAAAAAAAACTATAAAAGTATAATAGCAGCGTGTATATATATAATGGGAAGTAAATAGGGTTTCGATCTTTTCGGCATATTTCTTAAAATTATTATGCTTGTGCTTTAGTTAAAAGTACTCACTAAGTCCGAATTGTCACAGAAATACGTAGAAAGTATTTCTAAAATAGTAAAACCCAAGTGTTTAAAGTGATTTATTATTAAATACTTTGTAGCTAGAGTATAAGTACTTGCTAAAATAATTTATTTTAAAACTACCACCAATTTTCCTAAAGTATTCAAGTTTATCTTTTATGCATTGTGTTCTTGAATCTATCAAGTATTTGATTGAGTGGTTATTATTTTGAAGTAACAATTAATATGAAAATGTTAAATTGATTTCCAATTTAACAATAGAAGTGGTTTCGGTCTCTTTTGGCATGTTTGTTTAAAATTTAATTAATAAAGTGTCACACCATCATTTGCTTAATGAATTATAATATAGTATGATAAATATTTGATTAAAAATAATACATAAATTTCTCTGGATAAAGAAACTATTGCGCTAATGATAGTATGTGAGGTACATTCAAGGGAGGGTTATATTGAATGTGTATTAGTCTAAAGAGTATCAATGTAATAAATTTGGAGTGTTGACTTTAAAACATTACAACTACTATCTTGTGCTGTAGACAAAAACTCTTCCATGAAAATTAGGTCTATAAATCCCAAATTGAAGCTCAAAAATAGTAGTGTAGTAATAAATGACCAATATGGAACCATATGGAGATTTTGTATGGTCCATAAAATTAGAGTATCTAGATAATGAGTAACTTATTAGATATTTTATAAATGATTAAATTTATCGTAAATAATTCGTTTAAGTATTTTGGTTTATTGGTAATTTAATCATAATTAAAGATGATGGTATCAAAATAGGAGATGCTATTTGAATCCATGTTATATTCTATGAATGACTAAATTTACCCTAATTCATCAGTTTTAGATTTTGTGTTCATTAGTGATTTAATCATATTTAAGGGAATCATATGGAGATTTCTCGCTACTATATACATACACATATATATTTGTACGATGTTGTCAGAGGTAAATGGAAACTATTTAACCTCGATAATTAAGGGTCCGTTTGGTAACGTTTTTCATTTCTTACTTCTTGTTTTCAATTTTATTCAGAAATCTAAGCATTTGACGACTATTTATATTTCTTATTTCTCATTTTTTTTAAGAAATATTCTCCATATTTTATAGAAATTTTGAAAACATAAATAATAAGTTTTTTATTTCTTGTTTCTATTTCCAATTTGTTCCAACATAAATAAATATCTTGTTTTTAGAAAAAACATCATATTTCTATTACAAGAATAACATAAAATAATTTAGAAATCAAAAGAAATAACAATAATAATAAAGAAAACACAAGGATTAACGTGAAAAACTCTAGACCAAACAAAAAATTACAACCCATAGTGGAGAATCTAAAAATTATTACAATCACACAAATTTCTCTTCCCAAACTTGAATTACACAGATACTCTCTCAAAGTAAGTTTCTTTCGTTTTTTTATAAGCCCTTTCCAAATTAAGTTAACTTTAGGAATGTAATTAAATTTTAATAGGTGAAAGGATGATGTACTTTTCATTTTTAAAAGTCATAATATATACATATATTTGAAACGATTTTAAATATATCAATATATAATTTTTGTTAGGCACATTGTTAATTTCTTAACTAACTAAAAAACAATTTAAGTAGCTCTCAAAATAAAAATTAAAATTAAAAAAACAATAATTTAAGTAATATATCAATTAATACTCATAAGTTTCATCTCAAAATTAATTAGCCATAAAAGAAGTAGCGAATGTCTATTATAAACTTTGTTAGATCTCTGATGTATTAATATTCATGAGATTCTCATGAGATGAAAGCTCATGAATATTGATATGGTATCACAATAAAAAAACGTTCAAACAAGCATCTAGTCCAAAATTGGGATAAGACCAAGATCAAGAAGCCAAAAGAGTTACGATATTGAAGAGACATGTTAAGATCCTACAATGAAAATATAAGAAACCTTAACAAAGGTTTATAATAAACGTGAACTACCCCTATCATTGTCAATTAATTTTGAGATAGAGTCCAATAAATATTGATATAGTACAAGAGTCCAAAAAACTCAAACGAGCATCCGATTAAAAAATGAGATCCATCAATGAGCCAAAAGAGTCACAATCTTGAGTGGGCATGTCAAGGATCTCACCTTTAAAAGAAAAGAAATATTACAAATAATTGATTTTTAGATGAAAATTCATAAATATTGATACTATCATCTATAAAGTAAATGTGTAATATATATATGTGTGTGATGCTAAATAAAGATAATTAAACTACATACATCAGTGTATTTCCCAATAATATACATTCATACTAGACATCATTTATCTTTTCAAATAATAATAAAACACATCAACTTAATCTATCAGTTGATGCAAATGAATATATCCTAAAAAAATTGATGCAAATAAATAGAAACGAATGCCACAGCCGAAATATATATATATAATTTTTTTGGACGGAAGCCGAAATATTATATTATAAAAAAATCATAAAAACATTTAATAATATTCTTCATTTCCAACTTTTGTACTTACATATGTATATCATATATCTTTGGTTGCGCACCACTTGGAAACACATTGAATTCAAAAAGATAGCCTTTTTGTCATTTGCTTTTAGTTTTAAAATATTAATTAATCTAGAAATTTTTTTAATATAATACGTAAAAATAGAAATTCGAATTAAAAAATAGGCGTCTTAAATAATTCAACTATATTAGAATTTTTCCTGCAAGTAAAAAATCTTACAACCTATTTAATCACGTGGAAAACTACCAAAAATAAAAAATTTATATATTGTTCTTTTTAATAGATTTTCCTAAAATATTTGTTAATTTACAATATTAAAATAAAAAAAAGTAATCGGTCAAAAAACAGCCTTCACATCTAATTACCAAGTAAATGTAAACAAATGACTTATTTTGAGAATTATTGAACTATTTTTACCAAATATGCTTTAAAATCTTATGACTTGTGTACACCCAATTATAAATAAATTTTGAATTGGTATATATTTTTTCAACTTGTTATTTTCTTTTTGAGTTATTAATATAACATAATAGATTGGAATCTCCAATCTTTTGGTTGGAATACATGCCTTGATCAATTGAACGAATATTTTAACTTGTTACTTTATTTAATCTTCTTATCACAATATGATATAAGAACAATCAAAATGCAATATATATCAATACACCGACAATTACAGTA